GCTGACAATTCCCCCCAAATAAAAAAATTGGTCACTCAATCCCACGACTGTTTGTGGGACACTGCTCGTGCGCCACAACATTTTTGCCCACAAGCTACACAGTCACTGCACTTTACAGTATATCCTGTGAAGCGCTTTGAGACGTCTCGACAACGTGACGAGGCGCTGCTGGTGTGGGGTGTGCAGTGATCTGCGGCCTCGGCCGTAAACACGTCAAGGATTTCATTTCAACATTTCAATTAACATAATTCGAAAAACGTGTCCGTCTGAAAACAAAACCCCTTTTCCTGTCAGATTGGCCCCATATGTGTCTGCCAATCGCTCTTTAAATAGCGTCTTTGTCAGCTGTTTGTTTCTTTTTGTAGTTGGATTGGCTTCCCGCTCTTTATTACCTTTTCTCTTCAGAAACTCTAGTCCTGTAGCTCAGTGGTTACAGCACTCGTCTCGCGAGCAAGCGTGAGGTTCGATTCCTGGGCAGGTTGGGGAGAAACCTGAGGCAAATTTCCTCACTCCACACAGTTTATATTGCAGTGAGTGGGAACCTGGTTGTTAGTCGATTGGCGGATTGTTTTTCTGGGGGCAATAATCCCGTCAAAAATAAATAAATAAATAAATAAAACAATTTTGGTCACTCAATCCACGGCTGTTTGTGGGGACGCTGCTGTGCGCAATTGGCTGCCGCGTTTCGCCCACAAAACACACAGTCAAATCACTTTACAGTGAATCCTGTGAAGTCACTGGACATTCATGGATTTGGACACAAACTGGGGGTTGGGATCAGGAGGGGTGGAGGGCAGGGAGAGTGGGGGGGTAGGAGGGCGCCCGAAGGCACAGTCGAAGAGGAAGGTGTTGAGAGGGGCCTTGAAGGAGGCGAGGGAGGGGGCAAGGCAGTGGGGGTGGACTGTGTGTTTCACTGCTCGGGGGGCAGTAATGGACGCTCCTTGGTGTTTGCAGATGGAGGAGGGGAGGGGAACCCCTGAGGATCTCTTGTCCCGGGAGGACACAGCCCCGTTTGAGGAGCCGCAATCACCAGACCAGCCAGAGTCGGGCACGGAAGCTATCCCCATCACACGTACGTCAGACTGCACTGTGTGTGAGTGTGTGAGTGTCAGTGTGAGTGTGTGTTTGTGAGTGTGTGTGTGTGTGTGAGTGAGTATGTGAGTGTGTGTGTGAGTGAGTATGTGAGTGTGTGTGTGAGTGAGTGTATGTGAGTATGAGTGTGGGAGGGGAGGGGAAGACTGCTGACGATGGTATTTATCTCTCTCTCTCTCTCTACATGAAGGTCAGCCTCAGGCGGGTGCTGCCCCAGGGAGTTGCTCTGTGTCAGGACGGCAGGACCAGCCCCCACGGCCCTCCGGCACCAGGTCAGACCCCCGGCCGGGCTCAGGACACAAAGTACCGTCCAGGACCACCAAACGCCCCCCGCCTGTGCGTCAGAAGAAGCCGGGACCCCCACCCCCACTCAACCTGAGCGGCAAGAAAGGCAAAGCAGCCCCTTCCCCCACAGGAGCCCTGATCCCTGCCGGAGAGCAGCAAGGTGAGTGGGGTGGGGGGGGCGAAGGCGGGGGCAGGGGGTGGAGGGGGGCACTCAGACATCCTGGAATATCAGGCAGTGCGAAATGTTGGGCAAGTTTCCTTATTCCACACACACACACAGACACACACACACACAGACACACACAGACACACACATACACAGACACACACAGACACACACACGTGTCTGTTTACCCGCAGTAAGTAGGAACACTCTTGTTAGTTGATTGGCGGATCACTTTCCGGGGGTAATAATCCCTCAAAACAAAATTGGTCACTCAATCCACTGCTGTTTGTGGGGACGTCACTGCGCGCAATTGGCTGCCTTGCTTCGCCCACAAAATAACATTATTTTAGTGAGCGAGAGCGTGTGAGTGTGAGCAAGAGCGTGTGTGTGTGAGCGTGTGCGAGTCTGAGTGTGCTTGGGGTGGGAGGGGAGTGAGCGAGAGCGTGTGAGTGTGAGCGAGAGTGTGCGAGAGCGTGTGAGTGTGAGCGAGAGTGTGCGAGTGTGAGTGTGCTCGGGGTGGGAGGGGAGTGAGCGGGAGAGTGGCACTGCCCTGAGTGAGCCACGTGGTGACTGTGCTCTGACTGTGTTGCGTGTCGGCTGGTGCGGTGCTGTAGTAACACCAGCTGCTGTGGCTGCCTGTGTCTCCCCAGGCTGCTGTGTGCACTGTATCCTGGCCTGCCTGTTCTGTGAGTTCCTGACGTTGTGCGGTCTGGTGCTGGACTGCGCTACGTGCGGTTCCTGCGGCTCCGACGCCTCGTGCTGTTGTCTGTGCTGCGGCTCCGAGGAGTGTGCGGCCTGCGAGCTGCCCTGTGACCTGGACTGCGGCATCGTGGACGCCTGTTGTGAGTCCGCAGACTGCCTAGAGATCTGCATGGAATGCTGCGGCCTGTGCTTCTCCTCCTGAGTGCACGTGGAGGGAAAGCCGGAGCCGAGCCAAAGCCACCATCGTGTCCAAGGACTGAGGCCACAGTGGGGGGGTGGGGGGTGGGCGTGGAGGGAGGGTGGGGTGGGGGGGGAGAGATAGGGGGTGCTCACTGTCATACTGAGAACAGCGGTTGGTGGGGGGAGAGGGGAGATGGATGGACATTTGCCTCAAGACGGGGGGGAGCGAGGGGGCGAGGGAAGGAGGGAGGGACCGAGGGAGGGAGGGAGGGAGGGAAGGATGGAGGGAGCATCACACACAGCACTTGCCAAATAAACACTACAAAGAATTAGCACCATATTGGCTGCCCCCATCTGTCCCCAGGGAGGGTGTGCATGTGGCGGGTGGGGTGGGGGCGAAGGAAGGGGGGGGGCTCCTCAATGAAGACTATCTCTGATCGGTTGCATGCGAGTGGGGGAAAGGATATGTGACCTCCCCACCCAACCTCACACTAAAGTCTGTGCCCCACCGTTCCGTTCTCTTTCTCTCTCTCTCTCTCTCACTCACTTGAGAAACCAGGGTCCTGGGGGGAATGGGGTCAGGGATTGACGGAGGGTGTCAATGGTGTCATATTCTCTCTTTGGGGAATGTTTCTTGTGGAAGGACTTGTCAGAGCTGCAGAGCGACAGCAGGGACTGACCTAGGCCAGGCTTCTCGCTGATGATCAGTCACAACATCAGAACCTCAATCAGCACAAACACTTGTGAATTAAACATGTTTTATTTAGATCTTAGTCACTGGCCATTTCTCTCCGCGAGTCCCTCCCACCCCCATCCTCTCCCCTCATTCCCCACTCCTTGCCCTTGAGTCAGTGTTTACCGAGTCAGTAATGTTAGAGTTAGTGGTTAGAGAGCTCGCTTCGCAGGCGAGAGGACCCGAGTCAATTCCTGGGCGGAGCGAAACGTTGGGCAAGTTTCCTTACTCCACGGGTTCACGTAGCAGTGTGTGGGAACCCAGTTGTTAGTCGATTCGCGGATCGCTTTCTAATCATCACTTAAAAAAAAACGTGGTCCCTCAATCCACGGCTGTTTGCGGGGACATTGCTGTGTGCAATTGGCTGCCGCGTTTCACCCACAAAATACACAGTCAGTTCACTTTACAGTGTATTCTGTGAAGCGCTTTGAGATGTCTCGAAAACGTGATGAGGCACTGTATGAAATGCCGGGATTATTATATTATTATTACATTGTATTAGTTAGTGCTAGAGTTAGTGTTAGTTTTAGAGTTAGAGTTACTTAGTGTTAGAGTTAATTAGTGTTAGAGTTAAGAGTTAGTTAGTATTAGAGTTAGTTAGCTTTAGTTAATGTTGGAGTTAGTTAGTGTTGGAGTTAGTTAGAGTTAGTTAGCGTTAGTGTTAGTTAGATTAGTTAGTGTTAGAGTTAATTAGTATCAATTAGAGTTAGTTAGTGTTATAGTTAGTGTTAGAGTTAGTTAGTGTAACGAGGATTGCTGTGTGGTTCTCCTCTTGTCTGTGGTTACTGTTGAGCTGTGAGCGTCGATGGTATAAACAAACACAAACTGTGCGGAGAGAATAATAATAATAATAATCCTTGCATTTGATATAGCTCTTTTCATTTCGGGAGGACGTCCCAAAGCGCTTCACAGAACACACTGTAAAGTGAATTGACTGTATATTTGTGGGCAAACGCGGCAGCCAATTGCGCACAGCAATGTCCCGCAAACAGTCGTAGATTGAAAATGACCAATTTATTATTGTTTTTGGTTTTGGAGGAATTATTATTAGGCTCTGTATGGAGTAAGGAAACTTGCCCAAGGTTTCGCCCTGCTTGAAATTGAACTCAGGTCTCCCTCTTGCAAAGCGAGTGCTCTAACCACTGAGCTACAGGACTCCCCACCTGAGCTGCAGGACTGAATACATTTCCACAAGTGACACCAATACAACATGGTGTCACAGCTCAAATAGGTAGTTCCTATTTCTGACAGACTTCACATAGAAATACGAGTATAAGATAGTGACTGGAGGATTGAAATGAGAATTTAGAAGGAACTTCTTCAGACAGAGGGCAGCACTATGCGGAACTCACTCCCATAAGTAGTAATTGAAGCAGATAATACAGATAGATTTACATAATAATAATAATAATCCTTGGAAACTTGCCCGAGGAAACTTGCCCGAGGTTTCGCCCTCTGCCTGGAATTGAACTCAGGTCTCTCGCTTGCAAAGAGAGTGCTCTAACCACTGAGCTACAGGACTGAGCCACGGGCCGCGGAGAATATGAAACGGCCAGAATGCGGAGTCCAAGCTCGTTTGAGGTTTAATGTGGGCCAGGTGTGTTGGCAGAGGGAACGCAGGACACACGCGACGTGATGGAGAACAGTGGACACCTCAGCCTGGCCCAGCCTCGGGAGAGGGTCCCACAACAGACTGTCTCACTCCCACCCTGCTGCACTCCTCACCCTCGTATCCAAGTCCCTGCACTCCTCTGCACCCCCTCGACCTCTCTGACCTCCTCTCCTCAAAACAGCACCCATTGCCTTCATTCCTCTGGGTCTGGCCTCCTCCTTGTCCCCTGAGTCCTCCGTTCCACCCTCAGCGGCAGTGCCTTCAGCCACTATGCCCCGAGGCTCTGGAACTGCCTTCCTCACTCCCTTCGTCTCGCTCCCTCCCTTCCCATTTTCAGATCTCTGCTAAAGACCTTTCTTTTCGACCGCACCTTTGGCCACCTTCCCCGCCCTCCCCCTGGCTCGGCCCCCTCCCTCTGGCTCGGTCCCGGGATCCGTTACTGTGAAGCACTCTGAGACGCCGTCCAGTGTGGAGGGCACTATATAAATCCAAATCATTGGTGTTGTTGCCCTCCAGCGCCTCATCATCATCATCATCATCAACAACAACAACAATAGCTTTCACTTATACAACGCCCCTCACACAGGATAGGTTGTTGGTGCTGGAGGAGCTGAGAACAGTGTTAAGAGTTACGCTGGAGGGGCTTTAGTGAGTGGTCACAGAGTCACGTAGGGTTGTAACAAGGGATAATAATAATAATCCTTGCATTTGATATAGCGCTTTTCACGTCGGGAGGCCGTCCCAAAGCGCTTCACAGAATATACCGTAAAGTGACTTGACTGTATATTTGTGGGCGAACGCGGCAGCCAATTGCGCACAGTAATGTCCCACAAAGTGTCGTAGATTGAAAATGACCAATTTATTATTGTTTTTGGTTTTGGAGGGATTATTATTAGGCTCTGTGTGGAGTAAGGAAACTTGCCCAAGGTTTCGGGATATGGAGCACTCGGGATATGGAGCAAAGGCAGGTAATTGGAGTTGAGGTACACATCAGTCATGATCTAATAGAATGGCAGAACAGGTTCGAGGGGCTGAATGGCCTACATAGGAACCTCCTGTATGACCTTCAGCTCACTGTGTAGACTTGAAGTCCCAAATTGGTTTGAACCCACAGCCTTCAGAACCAGAAGAGCGCCTCCTGCAGTGGTGATGAGGTATTACAGATCTATGCTCAGTGTGCTCTCACAGGCAGCTACACAGCCCACAGCCTCAACTGATTATCAGCGAGGTGCTGGCAGGCTGACCAGACTCTCTCTTGTGTGGTTGCGACAGTCAGTCTGGCTCCTCGGTGATAATTAAAACCATTGAAGCGCCTTTGTACCAATCCTCTATAAAATAGATTACATCCATGCAGAGAGCAGGCAATGCAGACACAGCCCAGTGGGTTAGACTCCAGTCTCTCCTCATAGTCAACACTTCTCTGTTGTAGATGGGAGTGAGCCAGTGAGTCAGAGAGACACAGAGAGGGAGTGAGAGAGTAAGTCAGTCAGTGCCACACTCGGTAGTGGTGGAGGTGGGCAAAGTTGCGGAGGTGGGGGAAGGCAGACCAGGTCATGGCATGGATGCAGAGTTTAAAGGACAGTTGAGCGTCAAACACGACACTGGGGTTCTGTACTGGCTCTGTGAGGTGGGGTGTGCCTCCATGGATGATGATGCTGTCAGCGCCTGAGGTGAGTAGGGATTGACTGGACCCAATCAGGGGGGGCCTCAGTTTTGTTGAAAATGAAGTGAAGAAAGTTGGCTCACATCCAGGACTTGATGTCTGACTGACAGAGGGACAGGACAGCAGTTGGTGGCTACAAAGTGGAGATGGTGGGAAAGGTAAGAGTGAAACCAAGAGAGAGACTGAGAAAGGGAGAGAGAGAGAAAGGGACAGAGAGCGAAAGGGAGAGAGAGAGAGAAAGGGAGAGAGAGCGAGAGAGAGCCCCATTCACACAGCTCCACACTGAGTTAGTGAGCAGGAAGAGACCCTCCCCCACACACCAAATCCTTGTTTCCTGTTGGGCTGGGGAGCGTGTGTTTGCTTTGAACACCCCAGTGAAAACCGAGAGGACATAATATTGACTAAGATTTGCTGGAGGCGAGAGTGTGGCTCAGACAGTGAAACACAGGCCGAGAGCGAGAGACCGACACACACACACACCGTGCCAATAGGAAACTCAACCCAATGGTGTGTAATGTCCACCTGGACTGGGCACAGACGGGACCTTAGGTTAACATCTCATCTGAAGCATGGTGACTCCAGCAATGCACAGCTCCGCACTCAGCCCCTCAGCACCCAGCCCCCCATCTTCCCAGCCACCACCCCCCCAGCACCCTGTCCCAGGCCCCAGCCCCCCCCATCTCCCCAGTGTCCCATCTCTCCAGCCCCTCAGCTCCCCAATCCCCCAGCGCTGCACTGGACTATCAGCCTCGCCCTGGCTCTCCTCTGTGCTGCCTCTAACACTGGGGCTCGGTGAGGGAGGGGGTTGAGTGAGTGAGCGGCTTCACTGTGACTCAGGAGTGAATGAATCAGTGATGTTTTGGAACAGTTTGTCCAGAGGTTTTGACCAACAGTTTGGTTGTGATTCCTGGCCGGACACAGAGCCAGGGCCCAGCTCCAGTCAGTGGGTAACAGTCACCTCAGGTCTGAATGTCTGTTGGCTCCCGTTCGCTCTCAGTGTTGTAAGTCAGGGCGAACATGGTGGTGGGGGGGGGGGAGAGTGTGTGAAGGTGTCACACTGTAAACGC